AGAAAACCTAGTAGTACTAGTTCACCTAAGGCCTTATCACCTCCTCCTTCTGTGGATTCAAATTACCCATCGAGAGATGGAGCATCTTTCAATAGAATGGCCATGAATAGTGCTGCTTCTCCATCGCAGGCACCAATGCTTAATCCCTCTGTAAGTAAATACATGTCACTTCTGTACTTTAAACCTTTCAATGATTGCCTGATGCCCATCATATAAAGTGGTTTATTTTGGCTTTACTATCATCTACCTACTTTCCAACCTCATCCTGAGCCACTTTATCCCATACTATCTATGCTTAAGCCTCAAAGGCCTTCTTTCAGTTCTTTAAACAAGTCAAAAGGCCTTTTCACATGCTGTTCACTTGACCTAGAACTCTTTTTCCCTAACCTCTTAACTTTATAGGAGTAATTCTTTTTAGGTCTCTTTAAATGTTACCTCAATGAGCCCCAATCTCAGCCCTCTTGGAAAAGCTAAATGTATTAATATATACATATATAGTTGTTTTATTTTTACTAGCAAAATATCATTAACTGCCTAAATGCTCATGATAGGTTCATGGTTAAATTTATTTTATTTTATTTATTATTTTTTTTTTGAGATGGAGTTTCGCTCTTGTTACCCAGGCTAGAGTGCAATGGCGCGATCTCGGCTCACCGCAACCTCCGCCTCCTGGGTTCAGGCAATTCTCCTGCCTCAGCCTCCTGAGTAGCTGGGATTACAGGCACACGCCACCATGCCCAGCTGAATTTTTGTATTTGTAGTAGAGACGGGGTTTCACTGTGTTGACCAGGATGGTCTCGATCTCTTGACCTCGTGATCCACCCGCGTCGGCCTCCCAAAGTGCTGGGATTACAGGCGTGAGCCACCGCGCCCGGCCCATGGTTAAATTTATTATATATTTAATGAACATGGTGATGAAGATTATATAGCAACGTAGAAAAATGCAACATTAAAGAAATAGGTGTGCGTATTTGTGTGTACTCACCTACATGCATAAAAAGAATATGCCATGGGATAAAAAGATGAAAGAAATCCACTAAAATGAAAACAGCAATTGGGTGGGGTTTTTTTTCTTTTCTGTATTTTTCTAATTTCCGATAATGTGGTTATATTTTCATTAAAAAATTTTTGTTTTTAAAAAATTCAGCTAATGAAAAATCCCATAATTTTCTGCTTTTGCTGAATTTGGCTTATAAAAATGCTGAAGAATAATATCTTCCTGTCCTTTATTCTTTGTAGATGATTACAAATGAAGGACTTGCTCTTATAGCTACAGCTTCTGGAACAGACATCTCTTCTAATAGTCTAAAAGATTGTCTACCTAAATCAGCACAACTTTTGAAATCTGTTTTTGTGAAAAATGTTGGTTGGGCTACACAGGTGAGAAGTTTCTAGTAGAGTGAATTTTCTCATTATTAATTTCTTTTCATTTTCACACTGATAAGACAATTACCAAAATATACAAATTATTGTAATGATACCTTTTTACAAGGAAGTTTTTGTGCCTTTTTACATCGGTTATAGCATTAAAAATTTTAACTTCTAAATTTCTATACAGTTGAAAGACTCCAGACATTGCTGATAAGAGGTTGCCTGCTAGGGCCTGGGTGACCTACTTTTGCCCTTTGTTTTTAAAGTAGAGGTCATGATAATGACTAATTATGAAGAGTAGACTGTGATATCTGGGACATTTGAAGTTTGGAAATTATTTGTAATCAGTATTAATAGAGTAACTTTCATTTGGCAAAAGAAAAAAAGGATTTTTGCATTAAAAGTCAAGTGAAAGCCAGGTGTGATGTCACATGCCCATAGTCCCAGTTACTCAAGAATCTGAAATGGGAGGGTCGTTTGAGTCCAGGAGTTCGAGGCCAGCCTGGGCAACAAAGGAAGACCCCATCTCTTTTAAACAGTGAAGTCAAGGTCGGGCATGGTGGCTCGTGCCTGTAATCCTAGCACTTTGAGAGACTGAAGCAAGCTAATCACAAGGTCAGGAGTTCCAGACCAACCTAGCCAACATAGTGAAACCCTGTCTCTACTAATACAAAATTAGCGGGTCAGGCGGCACACACCAACTATTTGGGAGGCTGAGGCTGGAGAATCACTTGAACCCGGGAGGTGGAGGTTGTCCTGAGCCGAGATCACGCCACTGCACTCCAGCCTGGGGAACAAAGCAAGATTCCGTCTCAAAAAAAAAAAAAAAAAAAAGTGAAGTCAATATTGAGTTTCAAACTTACAGAATTTTATGTAGGTGTGAACTTACATGTGTATGTTATCTGAAAATTTGAAACTTGGAGACTTCTAAGCCTAGCACATGTACTTTTACTTATTAGTGAAATAAAATGCAGCCTAGTACTTTATGGGGGTAGGTAACATTTGTTGAGCACCTGCTTTGTGGTATCTACCATGTGTTTCATATACATTGTTTTAATTTATTCTCCAAAATAACCTAGTAAAGTTGATGTATCTCCTTTTATAGATAGTAAAATTATGGTTTCTAACAGTAGATTGACTTGCACAATCCTATGCTGTACTCTTAAGTTGGCAGAGTCTAGATGGCAGAGCCTAGGTCTGTTTGATTTGGTGTCCATATACTATGTGCTTCTCCGCTTTGAGTGACACATTGTGACTACTAATGACTAAAGGAAGACGTTTCAGAAGCTAAAATATAATATTCTTAGGCCAGGAAAGACATTCTTGTGGCCTAAGGACAAAGAAAATGTTGCTTTTATTTCCAAATCTTTTCTTGGTAAGAAATACTAAAGATTTCTTATGGGGGAAAAAAAAAACAACCACCAAAAAACTACTTCGAAATCCTAATGGAAATTAATGGGAAACAGGATTTACTTAGAATAATTTTAATATTATAATATCTTAGCTATTAAAGGAATAATCTGAAAAAGACATGAATATTCTCAGTGCTACTACCATCATAGCCCCAAATTTGTAGTCACTTAGAGAGTTTCTTTTTAACTGTGGAAAACCTGTTAAATATGTTAAATATTAATACAGAACCATAAATCCTCTGCTGTATAGTAATTTTTTTTTCTGTGCCTGTGCTTACCTATGCTTATTATTTTTCTAGTTAACTAGCGGAGCTGTGTGGGTTCAGTTTAATGATGGGTCCCAGTTGGTTGTGCAGGCAGGAGTGTCTTCTATCAGTTATACCTCACCAAATGGTCAAACAACTAGGTAAGTTCTTAAAATACTGGTTGAGATTCAGCCCTTTGCTATAATTTCTCTTTCTCTATATTTTGAAATAGATGATTTTAAAAAGTTACTTCTTTCATTTTGACAATGATAATATGATTCTTTAAACTGTTAATTATTCTTAGCATATAATTGTTTATGCATATTTTATAATTATCTGTATTAATGCAGAGCAATTGGTATGAATAATCTATTCTAAGAGGTTGGGTTCCTCATAGCCTTACTGTTCCATAGGGTAACTTGGTTGGCCCCTTTCAGAAGTAAGGGACTTCTAATTCTAGGTTCAAAGTAATATACCAAACCTATTTACTTGAACAGAAAAAAAGAAATCTTTGTTTTAAGATATAACCTGATTATTTTTCCCAAATGAAAGGCTATATCCCCAATCTAATGTAAAGTGATTAATGTTTTTGAATGTGTATATTCATCCTATATGAAAATGTGTATCAGGCACCAAGCCAAAAATAAGTCTGCCAATAGGAGAAACAAGGAGTCGTTTGCTTTCCACATTTAAACCAGAACTTAATGAAAGTACGGTGCTGATGATCCCAATGCAGACATGCTACTTTATAGGAGAAGTGCTTATTGTAATGGAAACACTTGGGACAAATAAAATCTGTAGATACCTACCAACTGCATTTTTATGTTAAATGTATATAATGCAGTGCCATCACTTAAAAAACTATGCTTCAAGTGAGAAACTTTGTTAAAAGCTCTTTGAGGTGCTCCAGAAACTGGAAAGACGCAAAGTGGGTAGAACCCTCGTTCTCAGGATACATGTTGACATTTTATTTGGTATGATCATTTGGAAATTGTTAATATTTAAATAGAAATCTATTCATAATGTGTTTAGTTTGGTATTTTTCTTTAGAATTAGGGCCTTTTAAAATTAATGAATCTAGATTTTTGGCTTGCTTATGAAATTATGAAGCCAGTTCAAGTTTATCTAATTTTCTTTCTGTTATTTAAATGTGTTGAGAAAATGGTCTGTTTTAAAAGAAAAGAAACTCTGTATGCTTCACCTGATTTAGGTATCTAGTAAATAATTGTTACAATTTTTCTGAGGTGCCTCTTGCTATTGAAGAATTACTGAAAAATATAAGGTGCTTTTTAGTATCATCATAAGAACCAAGTAATGAAGTTATGTTTTTGTCTTTTTTTCTTTTGTTTCACTTAGGTATGGAGAAAATGAAAAATTACCAGAATACATCAAACAGAAATTACAGTGTTTGTCTTCCATCCTTTTGATGTTTTCTAATTCAACTCCTAATTTTCATTGATCAAAACTCCTTTCAGACATATAAGTTTAATAAATAACTTTTTTGTTGGCTTTCAAGTAAAGTGATTTTTTTAAATTTAACTTCTTCAGAAAGCCTTTCTATGAAATAATTTTAACCTATACTGTAAAGGATGTATTCTGAGAGAACAAAGCAGAATGAAACTTGAGTCACTTACTAAATAGAGTGGATATAAAATAGTATACCTGACTTTGCTCTTAGATCATAACCCCCAAACTTATTATGTTCATGTATTTGTATTCAACAATCTTTTAAAAGCAAAAATATAAATGATATGTGGTATATTTCTGCTTTTATTGTTTTCCCTATGTCTCAGACATGTTGAGAATCATGGACAAAACCTGCTGAAATTTGGGAATTTTTGAACATGTAAATAATGTGTATTTATGTTATAAGTAACATATGTAAACATGTATATTTGTTTTATATTTATTTTTGTAGCACCCGTGTCTGACGAAACATTTTTGCAAATGCATTTTATAAAAAAAATAAATACAGTGATAAGTTACATTATCTTTTGATTCATTTAATTAAATACTTATTTTAAAATAACTACTTAACTCACTTTTAAATTTGTTGCCTGTTTAGGAGGAGTCAATTAAATTTTAAATAATAATTTTGCAAATGTTAAATACATTGTTTATTATCTGAAAATATTGGTATATTTTAATAAACATTTTAACACTGAAGAACTTGATGCAGTTGATTGACATGAAGAAAAATAATCTGTGATAGTGGGATAGCCATTCCTAATGAAAGAATAAGAGTAGCATGAAACTACTTAACTATCATAAAGACTGTTTAACCTAAAGTATCCTGCTGGTTTTTATAATCAGAAATTATATTACAGTATTTCTTTTAAGTAGACAATGTTATGATTATTCAACATTGATTTGGAGATTTTTCCCTGAGACAATAAGGAAGAAAAATAATATTTATATTTGCAACATAAATTTCAGAACTAATATTAAACTATCACCATATCCCTCTCAGAGAAAACCAGTAAACAGAAAAAAGGTGACTGAAGGAAATTTTCTATTGTCACCCAGTAGAAAAATGGACAAGAGATAATGAATTGATAGTTCACAAAGGAGGGAAGTCCATATGATCAATAAAAAGGAAGTATGCTCAACCTCATAAAAGTTGGGGAAATGCAAAGTTAAAGCAAGACAATCATTTTCTTTTATCAAAGAATGGCTTTAAGATTAAGTAATAACCCAGTGTGGTGACTCATGCCTGTAATCGCAACACTTTGGGAGACCAAAGTGGATGGATCACCTGAGGTCAGGCGTTCAAGACCAGCTGGCCAACATGGTGAAGCCTCATCTCCACTAAACATAAAAATTAGCTGGCCATGGTGGCACACACCTGTAATCCCAGCTCCTCGGGAGGCTGAGGCAGGAGAATTGCTTGAACCTGGGAGACAGAGGGTGCAGTAAACCGAGATCACGCCACTGCACTCCAGCCTGGACAACAGAGCAAGACTCTGTCTCAAAAATAAATAAATAAAAATGGAAATAAAGTAATCCTGAGCTAAATTTTACCTTATTTAATTATTTTTTTGGTAATGGAGTCTCACTCTGTCACACCCAGGCTGGAGTGCAGTGGCACGATCTTGGCTCGCTGCAACCTTCGCCTCCCAGATTCAAGTGATTCTCCTGCCTCAGCTTCCCAGGTAGCTGGGATTATAGACACATGCCACCATGCCTAGCTAATTTTTGTATTTTTAGTAGAGATGTGGTTTCACCTTGTTGGCCAGGCTGGTCCCAACCTCCTGACCTCAAGTGATCCACCTGCCTTGGTCTCCCAAAGTGTTGAGTCTACAGGCGTGAGCCACCGCACACCAGTATGAGCTAAATTTTAAAGGCCAATGACTTAAAACACATTTCTGCTTTGGCAGAACTTAACCAGTATACCTCTTATTATCTCTTTGTCTCTATGAATGAGTCTTTATTTTTTACGTATTTTTCTTATACATAACGAATGTATAGCTAAATTTTATTTTTAATATGATTTAATAACTTCTAATTTTTACATATATAGTTGTTTCTGGCTGTCTTAACTGTTTTTCATTACAGTTCTATTTGGATTTATGTGTAGCAGTTTATTTTGTGCTTTCCATGTACCATATTTTTGCTTTGGTTTTCTTTTTCTCCTGTTACTTCTTTCAAGTTGAGTTTCCTTTAATCCCTATTTTTCTCTGTACTGGTTTTCTCTGGGGTATGGTGGTAGCTTAATATTCAATGTTTATATTATTGTGACTATGAAAATATTTACAGCTGAACTATGTACTATACTAGAATTATATTTCTTGAACAATTTTTTTTTTCTGGAATTATTTTGTTTGCTCCAATATATCAGGTAATCTATCTGTGCTTTTTGTTCTATTTGTTCCCCCTTTTGGACACATGTCTCTCCGATTTCTTTTTTCTACCTAGACTGGTTCCTTTGTAGTTTTCCAGCATAGGAATGTACTGCAGTTTGTTTTTCTGTTATATTATTGATGGACATTGGAGTTTCCAGATTTTGGCTGTAAAAATATACTTTATGAACATGTTCTGGTGCACATGCATACATGTTTCTCTAGGATTTTACTCAAATGAATTTACTAATCTTATGATTTATTATGTCAAACTTTAGTAGATAATGCCTAATATTTTTACGCTTTCACCTGCAGCATATGGAAAGTATATTTTGCTCCACATCCACACCAAAACTTGGTGTTAGAGTCCTTAAAATTATTGCCAGTTTGACAGAATAGTGTAAGGCTACGTATGTTGACTCTAATTATAATGCTTTAGGAGGCAGGAAGGTTGCTTGAGGCCAGGTGTTTGAGAACAGTGTTATCAATGTGGTTTTAATTTGAATTCTCATTATTAAAGAGGTTGAAATGTTAAATCTTTATTAGATATTTGTCTTGTGATTTGCCTATTAATGTCTTTTGCCTATTTTTTCCTGTTGTGTTGTCTGGCTTTTTCTTAGTGGTTTTCAAGAGTTCTCAGTATGTATCCTTGTTTATTGATACATGTTGCAAATATCTTCTCCCATTCTATGCTTGTCCTTTTAAAAAAAAGTGTAGGTGTATATATATATATATATGTATATTTCTGAAATACTTTATTAACACGTATGTAAGGAAAACATGTTACCAATACTAGAAGACATCCTCCTTAATTAAATTGGCAAGAGGCACCACATTCTCCACAGGCTGGATGGTGCCAATGGATTTTGGCAGATTTCACTGGAGGAAGGAAATGCCAAGCTGACAACTTTTATATTCCTTATGGAAGACATTGTTTTGTAAAGTTTCCATTTGGGACAATATCCATCTTTGAGATCTTTCAAAGGAAGGTGATAAAATATCCCAGAGGATAATTTACATAAACCTAAACATGACATGGGAATGAAAACAGTTATTGTCTGTTTTTCTAGTGAGCACGATACAGGAAAATTCACATTTGGGACAAAGATGACATTTCTGAATGATTTTATCAATCAGTACAACATTAAACCAAATTTAGAAAAGATAAAAGCTAAACAGGTGAGATGAAATGCACACAAGGTACCAAGTGACACATTCTTTACAGATAAAGCCTCGAACACTTATGAAAATATTTATCAGTTCTTTGTTGCCCAGACTGGAGGGTAATAGCACAATCTCGGCTCACTGCAACCTCTGCCTCCTGGGTTCAGGTGATTCTCCTGTCTCAGCCTCCCAAGTAGCTGGGATTACAAGCATGTGCTACCATGCCCGGCTAATTTTGTATTTTTTATAGAGAGTTTCCCCATGTTGGTCAGGCTGGTCTCAAACCCCTGACCTTAGATGATCCGCCCACCTTGGCCTCCCAAAGTGCTGTGATTACAGACGTGAGCCACCGTGCCCAACCAAATTCTTAAACACTGCTAAGAGCGTAAACATACTGCTCTGTGTATCAGGGAAGGTCACTACTTCAGCATAATTGTTCCATAAATGTAGGACCTGTTCTTGTTTTCCAGTAACAACAACAATAATAGGAATAATAGCAGCCAAAAGGCATTGAATGATGATTACACACCAGGCATTTCTCTTAAGAACTCTGTAAATTGTCTCTATGTGTGTATAGGCTTGTCCTTTCACTCTCCTAATAGTATCTTTTGATAAACAGGATTTCTTAACTTTAATATAGTCCAATTATGCAATCTTCCTTTATGGCTAGTGTTTTGTTTCTGTTCCATTTGTTTCTTTACTTACAAAGTTGCAAAGATACTCTTCTAGATTGCCTTCCAAAACATATGGTTTGTTTTACTTTCATAAGCGTATAATGTAGAAAGTTTGATATGTATAAAACATATATATTTGGGTGTTTCCTATTTCCTGTTGTGTTGCCTGGCTTTTTCTTAGTGTATATATACATATATATGTATACATGTATATAATAATAACCTTACTAAGTCTCCCATCTGGAATTATTTATGAACTGGGGAGTAACAGTTGAGGGTTGCTCTAAAACCCTCAACTAAAAGTGGAGGTTGGGAGGCCGAGGCGGGTGGATCACCTGAGGTCAGCAATTTGAGACCATCCTGGCCAACATGCTGAAACCCCATCTCTACTAAACATACAGAATTAGCCGGGTGTAGTGGTGCATGCTTGTAGTCCCAGCTACTCAGAAGGCTGAGACAGGAGAATCGCTTGAACCCGGGAGGCAGAGGCTGCAATGGGCCGAAATTGCGCCACTGCACTCCAACCTGGGTAAGACAGAGCAAGATGACATCTCAAACATAAATAAATATAAAAACGGAGGGATTAAGTGACTGTACATAGTGAATGTTGAATGCAAAGACACCCCACCTCTACTCCCTAGCCGCCTCCTACTTAGCTCCCAGAATGTACTCAGCCACACTTTGTCCTGGGAGACTTAACAGTCTGTCCAGTCCAGGAGGAAAGACCTAAGGTTAATGAGTTTGGGTTCCCCAACAAACCAGAATCATACTACAGGAAAATGTAAAGTGAACCAGCCCCACCCAATCAGCTTTTTAAATCTTTCACTTAAAGCTATTTTATTATGGAAAGTTTCATACAAATATAAATGGACTAGGATGATGAGCTCCTATGTAACCATCACCCACCTTCAACATTTTAGCATGTAGCAAATCTTGTATCACTTGTTCCTCTTTTTATTCTCTCCCAGCTAGATTATTTTGAAGCAAATCCTAGGCATCATCATATCATCTCATCCATAAATAACCCTTTAGAAATAGCCACAATAGCTGGGGGCGGTGGCTCACGCCTGTAATCCCAGCACTTTGGGAGGCTGAGGTGGGCAGATCACGAGGTCAGCAGATCAAGATCACCCTGGCCATGGTGAAACCCCATCTCTACTAAAATACAAAAAAAGTAGCCTGATGTGGTGGCATGCACCTATAGTCCCAGCAGCTCAGCAAGACTCCATCTCAAAAAAAAAAAAAAAGAAATAACCACAATATCATTACACCTAAAAAGTTTTCATTACATAATGCTATCATTCAACCAATGTTCAATTTCTCCTTTTACCAAAAAAAAAAAAAAAATTGTTTGCTTGAATCAAAATTTAAACAAGATCTACATGCTGCATTTGATTGATAAGCCTCTTAATCTTTTAACATATACCCTTAA